AACCTAGTTCGTAACTTTTTTCAGAAACATTATGTTTAGTATAATTCTTTTTTAATAAAAAATGTGAAGTTAAAAACTGAAATATATATATATATATATAGATGCTTAAATGTTGTTGTTGTAATATAATGTATCCTGTTCCCTGGTGTGGATGTATTGTCTGTTCTCTCAATATATTTTATCTGTTTCCTAATTATCCTATTCCTAAACATATCCTCCATCTTATTGTACTGACTACATCAACTCTATTTATCCATTATTCCGGAGATCTGTGTATATTCCAATAGTCAGGGCCCTCCAGGGGGCTTCAGGCAAAGGGTATATATTTGTTCATAATAAGATTATACGAATAGTAATCTTAATATTTTTGTAAAACATGAAATTTGGACAAAAAATGGCAATTTCTTTCCTTCTTTTTGTTAATTTTATCTAAGCCTACAATTTGTAAATTATTGCACAACAATTTCAACATACAATCCCCCACAAAGTCGGCAATTTGCATGTAAAGATTTCTGCTGGAAACCAAAATTTGTATACAGTAAATTATACCCCTGTTGAATATATTACAGGGTTACCCATAAAGGATGAGATTTTAATGATAACTTGAAATGTTTGATTAAAACGAAATGGAGTTTGAGTTTTGCTTCTGTCTTTGCTTTGAAAAAACAAATTCGCACCCATGAATATAATAACAAGTCTGAACAACAGTCGACTCTGAAGTCTCATTGGTTTTGGTTGACCCTGTCAAAAGGGATATATTTACTGAATTGCAATATCTATTTTATATTCAAAGGGGTTTCCAACACAAGTGGGTTTTAATTGAGTGCAATTGCAAGCCCTGTTAACTCCAGGCAATTCCGCACAATTGCTCTCAATTCAAGAACAGTTGTGCGCAATTCCACACAGTTACGTGCAATTCCGCGCTACGAAATTCCGATTTGAAACCCTAATATTCATTGATTATAATTGGGTCCTACACAGAACCTTTCTTTGCAAGTAACTATCATTTAAGTCAAAATTAAGACATATATAATCAAAAAACTGATTTAAAATCTAATTTGATAAACCATTGTTTTTACATTGGGTCCTAAAATCAATAAATATTATTGAATAAAATTTATGCTAAATGAAACTAGTTTAATCTTCCAAAATCTGTTGTAAGAATAAATATTTATCCATTTTCTCATTTTGTTTTTGTTAATCTACACAGCTACATTAAACATGATGCTGTACTGATTTTAGATTAGATGCATTTAGCATTATTTTCTCTATTTTCATGGAATTTAATGTTGAATGAATTTTATTTTTCATAAATCAGAGTAGTTTTCCAATCTTGTGGTTTTTGTGGGATAATTAAATATGAAAAAATGATGATAATTGTTTGATTTTCAGTTTATAGAAAATGATAAAATACTTGCAAATCTCTCTACTTTTGATATTTTAGATCTGGTAAGAAGTGTTTTATTCCTCAGTACTTTAAAGGAGGTTCAAGGTAGTAAAATTACAGGAATTAAAAAATTTAAATAAGAGAATTTAATTATGTAAAACCTAAAAATTGATAAAATATTTGTTTTTCATTGAATTGTATTCTGTATACATAGAAATGCTTACAGTGCATTTTCCTGATTTATTTTTGTAAATCATTTCATAAGTTTATTTATTTCACTTTATTATGTGTCCTACATGGATCACTTACAAAAGATAAGACTTCATAGACAACATGCACATGGTATTTGGGATTTGGAAGTTTGTTTTAAGAAAAGCACAAGAAAATTGCTGAACTATTTTGAAAAGCATTAAGAGTGCAAAACTTCCACGTAAGTCTTGAAAATGTTCTAATGAGTTGAATATTATTAAAATGAAAATGTTCTAATGAGTTGAATATTATTAAAATGAAAATGTTGTAATGAGTTGAATATTATTAGAATGAAAATGTTCTAATGAGTTGAATATTATTAAAATGAAAATGATCTAATGAGTTGAATATTATTAGAATGAAAATGTTCTAATGAGTTGAATATTATTAAAATGAAAATGATCTAATGAGTGAATATTATTAGAATGAAAATGATCTAATGAGTTGAATATTGTTAGAATGAAAATGTTCTAATGAGTTGAATATTGTTAGAATTAGAATGATCTAATGAGTTGAATATTGTTAGAATAAAAATGTTCTAATGAGTTGAATATTATATAAAATTAAAATGTTCTAATGAGTTGAATATTGTTAAAATGAAAATGTTCTAATGAGTTGAATATTATATAAAATGAAAATGTTGTAACGAGTTGAATATTGTTAAAATGAAAATGTTGTAATGAGTTGAATATTGTTAAAATGAAAATGTTCTAATGGGTTGAATATTGTTAGAATGAAAATGGTAGAACTGAAGGATTGGGAAGATTATCTTGCTTTACCTCTCACATCATGGAATATCAGGTATGAATTTTTAGAAGGATAAATTTATTTTTGGATTAAACAAAAAAAAGTGAAATAATTTGCCCTTTGAAGTTAAATAAAATCAGTTTAGTATGCACCACACTAGACGAAATTAATCCAATATTAAAATAACTTCAGTTTAGTATGCACCACACTAGAATCTAAAACTAAAAGAACTTCAGTTCAGTGTGCACCAAACTAGAATCTAAAACTAAAAGAACTTCAGTTCAGTGTGCACCACACAAGACCAGCTAAATCTAAAACTAAAAGAACTTTAGTTCAGTGTGCACCACACAAGACCAGATAAATCTAAAACTAAAAGAACTTCAGTTCATTGTGCACCTCACAAGACCAGCTAAATCTAAAACTAAAAGAACTTCAGTTCATTGTGCACCACACAAAACCAGCTAAATCTAAAACTAAAAGAATTTTAGTTCAGTGTGCAGTGTGCACCACACAAGACCAAATGAATCTAAAACTAACTAAACATTTAATATATTCAAGAAGAAAATATCCGAGCAGATTGCTATCTTGAAAACTTTCTAGACATTGATTGCAATTAATTACAACTTTATTTCCTTGATATTAGTTGCTACTGAATAGGAGATATTCTATTAATAGATGTATCAGTAGAAATATTCATCAAACAGAAACTCTAGTTACAGTATTTCAGAAGTTTTAGTCGAGTTTTAAACTGGAGTTAAACTCTGCTGCAATAGTCGTGCCATAACTGGGTGTAAACACCAACTTTTGAAACACCAACTGTGCTATATTTGGTGGCAAAAACTCCACTTAAACTCGATTTTTAAACCTTGTTTGTAACTTGTTTCAGAAGTTGGTGTTAGCGCCCAGTTATGCAGAATTAAACTCCAGTTTGAAACTCGATTAAATCTCCACTTCTAGATTGCAAAAGTGGACATGAACTCCACTTTAAATCGAGTCTGTGTTTACTGAGATGTTCTTGACAACTAGTTGTTCCAACTAGTTCTGTTTTGTCGGTTTCAACTTATTCTATACTTGTTTTTAATTATCCAGGCAGCCAGCAGATGTAGATATACGACCTGATGCTGGACAAACTGGTGGATTAGATCTAGTTCTAGTTCCTGGTTTAGCTTTCTCAAGCCAGGGGGACAGGTAACAATTCCCCCCCACTCCCCTCCCACGACGTATCACATCAATTCAGTTCTAATTGATACCACGGTAAACTGCCAGGAGACCAACCTGAAAACAGCTCTGCTATGGCTGCTCTCCTTCCGTTGATAATTAATAAACTAATAAATATGTAATTTTTATGCACAACCTGTCATATTTTCAACGGAAAAATAAATTATTAGATTAGATTAGATTAGATTAGGTAGACAGTTTAGATAGTTATATATAAAAAATCAGAAATAATAGGTGAAATCTCTGGAATCGGAAGACGTCTTTTATACTTAAGTCATGCGGCCTGACTCAGGTCGTATTTACCCGTATACGATCCTAACAGGCCCCTACCCTGAGGCTCACATCTCATTATCTAATGGGGGTGCTGATGGGTTACTGGTTTTTCTAAGGCTACTTAGAAGACAAATGAGGCCCTTTGTTATAAATAAATAAATAGAGATGAGAAACAGTAATTGTACATTGTAAACAGAACCCATAATCTTAATTAGTGATAGTCTTTTTGCTATGTAACAGCATTAAATACACATAAGCACTGCCATAATGTCGTCTTCCTAATCCACAGTGTTCTGGTTATTACTGTATTATATTATATACATCATTTAATTGGCTTGTCTGTTTGTTTGATAAAGTATCTAATAAACGTTAGAATTGAAAAATTGACCCTGAAAAAGTTCACTTTTGCGAATTTTTAAAATCAACCCATTTAAACAGAAAAGTCCGCGAAATGTGCTTTTATTGAAGTAGAGTGACAAAACGGTGGCTTAAACCATGTTAAATCTAAAAGTGTTACATGGAAGTACCCTCAAAGCATATTTAATATTTGGTATTGTAAGAAAGCTAGTAATGAAGAATTGAGTAAGCCTTTAAATTCATTTGATTCATATAAAAATAAACTCAGCAACACCATTTGGTCTATCAAATTCATTATTATTATCATTTTCATTTACCCCGTGAATCTAAGCATGATTGAAATTCATATTGATTTTTTAGACCTCGCACATACTTGTTTAGATGTGGAAGGGGGAAAGGATATTATGATACATATCTTCAAAATCTTACAAAAACCCAGGTAACTCGGACCTTAAAATATATTCGTTCAGTAAAAGGCTTAAAAAAACCATGGGTTTCGTTCATAGAATATTTCTGGTGTTGACAACCCAACTGTTTTTACCTCTGACTGTATTTTAAAGTGATTTGATCTTGATATCTTCTGATACAACCTTACATCTTTTACATTTTGAATTAGGGGAGAATTGTAGTTCAAAATTACAGGAAATCCATACTTGGCAGAACAGATTCATCAATATTGGATATTATTAGGACCTTTTGCCTAAGCTACATGCTCATGATCCTACCATATAAACTGCAAAAAACACACTATTGCATTCAACGGGAAAACTTACAGTTAGATATATCGAACACGCTGTGCGATATATATATAATATATATATATAGCTACTGTTGATATTTCGCAAAGCATGTTCGTTGAAGGAAACAACATTTATTAAATATTAGGAAGCATTTATTATTATACCGGATAGAGTGTGCGATATATCTAACTGTAATTTTCCAGTTGAATGTTATAGATAAATCTATTGGACCAATAGTGTTTTTTATTTGCATTGTATGTTGCGCATATGTTGGCTTAGTTACATTTGGTTTGCCTACAACCTTACATTTTTTACATTTTGAATTGGGGGAGAATTATAGTGTCCAGAGTTACAGGAAATCCATATTTGGCAGAACAGATTCATCAATATTGGATATTATTAGGACCTTTCGTACACTTGAATAACATATATATGGAGTTCATTGTTTTCTTTATTATAGGAATTGAGTCTTTGCCACTAACTCTGATTTTCTAATCCATCTATACAACCCATTGTCGTAACCCTTAGATATGTTAAATATGAATTTTGTTAGATAAAATAATCAAATCAAAGATTTTCAACACGAGGTTTCAAAGGTATAGGGATTCTAAAAAAATTTAAGTTTTGTTCATGTTATTTATTTTTCTGGCTTGTATGATTCTTTTTTTAAAGAAGCTTTGAGCTTTCTAGCGTCAAGCAAACCAGTGCTTCTTGATACCAAATGATTAAACCTTGTTTCTCATGTTATGTCCTCCAATCTTTTATCTTGCTCCATCTTTCAATCTTGTTAATACTGTATCTCAATCTTCATCATCTACTCTATAACGTAATTTCAAGTGACCCTTCATGCAAAGAAGGCAATGTCCGATTCACAACGGTACCCTTTAGAGCGTTGTAAGGTCAAGCATGAATTATGCATCAATGTTTAAGATTTTGAAAACTGATCAAATTAAATGCGGTTTCTCTACAAAAGTGCCTTGCGCATTTCTGCTGCAGGAAAACATGTAAGAATTATCAGAATCAAACTCTTTTAAATCTATATAAACGATTATATCTTGCACATTATTATCCAAATAAAGATTTTAAGGGTACCGTTGTGAATCAGGCTTTGCTATCTTTGCAGGAAGTGTCAAGCTCGAAGTTAAATTCACAGTCCGTTTAATACTCTATCACAACCATCATCATCTATCTTAGATTAATCCTGTTCTGTATTCTCTTGTCTTTAATTAAATACTGTATCACACCATCATCATCTATCTTAGATTAATCCAGTTCTTTACTCTCTTGTCTTTAATTAAATACTGTATCACAACCATAATCCTCCATCTTAGATTAATCCTGTTCTTTATTCTCTTGTCTTTAATTAGATACTGTATCACAACCATCATCTATCTTAGATTAATCCTGTTCTTTATTCTCTTGTCTTTAATTAAATACTGTATCACAACCATCATCATCCATCTTAGATTAATCCTGTTCTTTTTGTCTTTAATTAAATACTGTATCACACCACCATCATCTATCTTAGATTAATCCAGTTCTTTACTCTCTTGACTTTAATTAAATACTCTATCACACCACCATCATCTATCTTAGATTAATCCTGTTCTTTATTCTCTTGACTTTAATTAAATACTCTATCACATCATCATCATCTATCTTAGATTAATCCAGTTCTTTATTCTCTTTTCTTCAATTAAATACTGTATCACAACCATCATCATCCATCTTAGATTAATCCTGTTCTTTATTCTCTTGTCTTTAATTAAATAATGTATCACAACCATCATCTATCTTAGATTAATCCTGTTCTTTATTCTCTTGTCTTTAATTAAATACTGTATCACACCACCATCATCTATCTTAGATTAATCCTGTTCTTTATTCTCTTGTCTTTAATTAAATACTGTATCACACCACCATCATCTATCTTAGATTAATCCTGTTCTTTACTCTCTTGTCTTTAATTAAATACTGTATCACACCACCATCATCTATTTTAGATTAATCCTGTTCTTTACTCTCTTGTCTTTAGTTAAATACTGTATCACACCACCATCATCTATCTTAGATTAATCCTGTTCTTTATTCTCTTGTCTTTAATTAAATACAGAAACAACAAGGAAAGTGTTTGTGTAATAGCACAAGGTATATTTGACAGATAACAGAGTGTCAAAGAAAAAGTGTATGCCAAGTTATTTCTGATGTTGCAGACATTAAATTAATTTGGAATAAAATAATATGACTGTAAGTTCAGAGGATATACATATATATACTGATATTGCAAGAAGTACAGTTTTTTTTATCCAATCTTAAGCAATATATCATTCCAGGCAATGAGGATATAGGAAGCCAATGAATCCCCAATGCAGTAAAAATACGATATTTTCCGCATTAATCAGTAAAAGGTTTTAAGGGTACCGTTGTGAATCGGGCATTGCCATTTTTGCATGGAGGGTTACTTAAACTTACCCTTACCTTTAAAATTTTTAAGGCTGTACCTCCAATGACAGTTGGACTTGGATTTAAGGAGCAGATCGTGGAGAACCTTCCAATGGACAAACATGATTTTAAAATTGATGTAGTTATATCTCCATAGATTAAAGTTATGTACACTGTACATAGGGCCGGATGGGCAATAGTCAGATTCGCGTTTTACAGAAACTTTTAATGTTTTTAGACTTTTAAAAGGTTTTACGACAACCTGAGAAAGGTCCAACAATTTTAAAACTGTATTCTGTAGAAGTTTGCTTATATCAAACATGCAAACTTCTACAGAATACAATTTTAAATATTTAAATTTCTGTAAAACGAATCTAGCTTCTTCCCAACGTTAACTGTACAGTGATAGCTAGACAACTGTTGAATAGGAAGACGACATTATAGCAATACTAAAGTGCATTTGATGTTTTTACAATGAAAATAGTTTTACTAATAACTTAAAAAGTTATAAAATCACTTATTGAGTAAAAAAGATCTGTTCACACTGCACAATTGCTGTGTCTCATGTTCATTGGACTATTTAAAGTCATAACTTGAGTCTAAAAGTCGACTTCCTATTCCAGAGTTTTCACTGTATCACTGTATCACTGGTTATCACTGTAGCAATTTTTATCTTTATAAATGAAATATCAAAAAGATCAAACTATATCACCTTCTTCTAAAAATAATATGTTTAAACATAAAAAATTTGTGACTTACATGATATACAGGGTTACCCACAAAAGATGAGACTGTAATGACGACAATAAACTTTTAATTTTAATCTTCTGCCTTTCATAAAGTCTTTTAATAGCTTATTAAATAATTTGGCAAAGAAACAAGTTTACAGAGCATGGAATCATGAATATAAGGAAACCCTGTAGCTCAATGACTAGTTCAAATAGTTTACTGCAAAGTATTTTATCGCTAATTGCTTTTAGGAATTATTTCAAAAATTATGCGTAAAAAGTTCTGTTTATACTTACTTACTACATTTTTCCTGTACAAATGTTTTTTAACAATTAAAAAATGTGATAAAAGTAAATAAAAAAACTATGCAAAATTGTAACTGTTAATCCTAATGCAAATGGAAATTGATTTGCATTTAACAGAATAATCATAAAACACAATTTTAATTACTTTTACGTTACAGTAATTTTCTTTACATTTAAATATTGTTAATTTTTATCAATACTCAATCTTCTTAGACTATCTTCATTTATTAATTTCATTAGTTTGGAAGCATTTAATATTTCTTACTTTTAATATTGTACTTTTGACATTTCAAGCCTTTACAGACTGTTCAATCCTGTATTTATGCTACTTTTTTTTCAGAAAAATGTTTTGTTCATCTCAGATTAGAATTCTAAAAAGTATCCCATCAGTGGCAGTACATTCTGGTTCTGCAACATGTGTAGTTGGGGCTCATTGTGTACAACAAGTTGTACGCTATCAAAGTTCCTTGACGAAACTCACAAAGGAATTCAATTGTACTTAATTTTATCATTAATTAGTTGTACATTGTAATGTACAGTGTACAGAGCTGTACATTTTTTATGAATTTCCGGCTTAGCCTATATAGGAACTTAGCGGCTGAACTCTATGTCCATTATCCAGTGGATATATTTTAAAGATGACCTGGTTTAAGGTAAAAAAATCGGAAAATCCTTAAATCTTAAATCTGCCACACTCCTGTATGCCAAGTTCATTAGCGCCTTATCCAATCAGGGTACAGGCATGTGTTTGTTGTCTATGCTGAACCAATAGAAATAGTATAGTGGTAACATTTATCTTTCTATCTATCTCATTATCCAATCAGAGTTATGAATCCTTCAATCGGCGTTATCAGTGAAAGGAAATATTTACTTCTTCTGAAACTATAGTTGCCAATGACAGAATTTCAACTCTGAAATATACTATGCGGGTGTCAAGTCATAATGGTGAAGAGCTAATGCTAAGCTTAAGAATCCTAGACCAAGCCGGAGATCCTTAGGGTGTACTAATAAACGGCTATATTATTTAAATCCACTTTCAGGGGTTTACTAAAGAATTTGTCCAAATTGTTTTATTTTCTTTACCTAAACACCCCCTGGAAACCATAGATTTCACTAATCTGTCCACTTAACCTTTTATAATAGGTAAATACTGATTTATACTTTTCAGAACGTGGGTCACCGTCACACGTTAGTGCCCTTAAACAAATAATGTAAATATTGGAAATTAAATTTTGAATATTAACGTATTTGCTTTGAAATAGGACTGATTTTCATGGTACAAAAAACATAGACCACAATTGGTGAAGTATGCTATTTGTTGTCTTACTGCTCAAATATTTGGTCATTTTGATTTATCAAATTGTACAAAAAATTTGATCATTGTTTATTGTTACTTGAACAATTATTAGTTAATTCACATTGAGAACTAAATCTAATGTGTGCATCTAAGAAAAAGAAATGCAAAAGCAAAAATGGGCTTGATTTTTAGATTATATAGGCTTTATGCGCATAGACAAATATAAGCAAGGATCACATTTAACTTTCTCCCATGGTCAGATTTAGAAACAGAGCCTTCAAAACATCAATGAATTTTTTTACAATCATGAAAAACAGATTTGGTAATTTGTTAATTAAATGGGTTTCTACTATTTTCTACAAAATCATCGCATAATTGTGAAAAATATGACTTTTTCGGGTTAAAAATTGGAAAAATAATTTTTTTCTTTGCTTCTCATTTAAAACCCCTTAAAGATATGTGCTGATCGAAATGATGAAATTGTTTATAATGACTTTAAGATATGTTACAAAAAGTGCTAGCACTAAAGCTGACCATGGGAGAAGCTGAAACATGATTTTTGTATATATTTCTTTATACGCATAAAGCTAAATAACATACAAATCAAGCCAATTTTTGCTTTTGCATTTATTTTTCTTGTGGCCGAATTTAAAGAATTTAAGCGGCGGTTTAAATTTAAGCCGCGGCTTAAATATGGTTGGTTCCACTTAAAATTGTATCAAATGTTTCAAGATTTAAGCCGGCGCTTAATTTAAACCGGGTTTTGGCAGATTTAAACCGCGGCTCAAAATCTTTAAATTCCATCTTTGGATATACATGTTGGATTTAGTTCTCAATGTGAATTAACTAATATTAGGCCAAGTAAAAACATAAAATCATCAGAGGTTTCAATTTGATAAATCTGAGATGGTACGCAGTTTTCTTAGTGAAATATTCATGATTTTCCTACAAAAATATCTCGACGTTCTTTAATTTTTAAATTTATTCGAAAAATTACTATGGATGTTACCTATACAAAATGTTACTGATACGAAATGTTATCTATACAAAATGTTACCTATATGAAATGTTACCTATACAAAATGTTACCTATACCAATGTTACTATACGAAAATGTACTAGACAAAATGTTACTATACGAAAATGTACTATACGAAACGTTACTGATCCTTTAAAACAAAATAGTTTCTTAATTTTCATATTTATTGTCAAAAGATGTATCACTTTTTAAACTGGGTCGAATTTAAACTGTTGCATCGCCTTGGATTTTGATTTAATCTCAACCACTCACCTAGTCTTTTTTGTAGTCCTAGACATTAAACCTCTTTTTAACTTTAGGTTTTAAGAGGTTATTAGACAAATTATCATTGATTTTTGCGTGAGAGCTTTGCATTCTTTTTATCACTGTGTGGAACACCCTGTATTGAAAAAGAGGACACCCTATATTTAAAAAGAGGACACCCTGTATTTAAAAAAGGACACCCTGTATTTGAAAAGAGGACACCCTGTATTTAAAAAAAGGATAGGATGAGAAAAGAATAGAAAATGTTGAGCAGCGCAGAAAAAGAAAATGTTGGAAATATGTGAATATTACAAGGTTTTATTGTAAATTGAATTGTGCAGGAAAATTGCGTGGCATCCCTTACACTCACATCTCCCAAAACCAGGGATTCAGGATTATCATAAAATATTAAGAAAATGCAACGTGGATCCATTTTATTCTTCTCTTATTACCTTTTCCGAAAAAAACAGGGGTAAACTTTCGTCACCCTCGAGGTCAATTTTCCGTGCGAAATTTAAAAATGTTGACTTCTTTCAAAATATTTCTCCAAACCTGAACTGTGGTTTATGGACACTTTTTGTCTTAAAGAAATAATGATTCTGTAGAAAACTTAATTTAAGAAATACTAATTATAGTAACAGCATTTGTTTTACGGGAAATGATGGAAAACTTTGTATTAAACTGTAAAGACATAAAAGTCCAAAACACATGACAATAAACTAAACATTTCTGTTTCTTAAAATTCAAATAACATATTTGTCCTTAAAATACCCTGATTAAAGGGATTGTTTGCTTAAATTAGAAAAAACTCTAATTTTAAAGAGCCTACATAGGATATCAAGATTAAGCGTTCCAAGTTCAGAAAGTATTGGATCAGGAATTTTAAGAATTTGAGGCGCGTTAATTTGAGATGCGGCTTAAATATGGTTGGTTCCACTTAAAATTGTATTCAATTTTTCGAGATTTAGATTGACGCTCAAATGAAACCGGTTTTTGGCGGATTTAAGACGCGGCTCAAATTCATAAAGTTTGGTTACTGTTTTACCTTTTTACCCTTTCATCTCTTCAAACTTACCCGGAAGTAGAACATACTGATTTGTTTATTTTGGGGGGTAAGGTAATATAGTCATCGCAATTCTTTTTTTAAAAATCGGGAGTAAATGTTGGATAAGAACAGGGATAAAAAAATGGTCTAAATTCATGATATTATAGGTTTATACGATATATTGTTCAGCGTCATAATCCAAAACAAAATAAAATCATGAATGAAACCCTAATTGGAAAGAGTATATTTATTTTAAAATATTAAAAACATGAGTTTATGATTAGATATCATACTACATAGGAACAGATCTTTAGATGGTTTGAAATAAAAGTAATTTAAGAACAAAACTTATCAAAAGAAAGAATATTAAATTAACTTAGAACAAGAAAATAGTAAATCAAATTTTCAAAAATGTTGTTTTGAAAATTTCTTTTCCATATAATCAAAAATTGTAATTTTAAAAAGAAATGTGAAAATTCTTTATTAGCATTCATGGGACTTTATGAATATAGTTACTGAAATTATAGTATAAAGATCCAGACAGATATATGAAAATTATATATATATTTTCACCATCTTATTAATTTTGTAACGCCTTGGTCATTGGGGTTACCATTGCCAACTTACATATACATTTTTGTTGTCTGATTTAGTTTTAAAGAATTAAGTGGCAACATTCTCATCAATGTAAGTAATAACAAATTGGTTTTATTTTTTAGGTGAAAATTTGTTTTTATTGCCACAGTGCTTAATATACTTTTCATTTTGATGCGGATGCGGATCTGGATTCGAACCCGGATCCAGGATCTTTTATGAAAAAACGGACCCGGATCCGGACTTAGGTTATATACCATATTTACTGAGTTTTAACAAGCCCCCCAAAAAAATTTTATTTCGGTTTTTAACTCTTTTGTTATGGTTAAAAAATATGGTTTGACTGCTACGAATGCAATGTCTCAATATAAAATATAATAAAGCTGGATGTTCTGAACATGGTTTGACTAATATTAATGCATTTATCTATTTATATATAATATGTATATGTATAGCTAGCTTGGAAAGTTGGGAACCCAGCGTTGTCTGGAAACTCAAATTTTCTTATTAAAAGTAAACCTGCACTCAATTTAGAATTGATTAAACCCAGCTAGGGACATTTCCTTGGCTGTAACAAGCTCCTCGATCAACATGATTGGATTTGATATACAGACAAACAGAGATTACTACTTTATATACAGGGTTAAACACTAAGGATGAGACTTCAGAGATGATTGTACAGAATTTATACTGTCTATTTCCGTATATTTATGATTCCCTGCAACTTTAAACTTGTTTCTTTCTTTGAATATTCATTGATAAAGCCATTAAAAAGATTATATTTAAGGTAGAAGACTAAATTTAACCTCAGAAAAGTCAAATTTAAAAGTTTCAGGTCGTCTTTACAGTCTGATTCTTTGTGGGTAACCCTGTCCATGTACGTAGATATAAGTGAGTTTTGATATTCTGAACTTGGTTTAACCGCTAGAAATGCATTATCTCTAGAAATGATGAAAACTCTTATTAATGAACTAGAAGAGGTGGCACAGGTAAAATTCTACAGTAACACAGTAACGACGAAGAAAAAACGAGAAACGAAAGAAACAATCGTTTTTAAAAAAGATCGTTTTTCTTTTTTGAAAGTTCAACACGAGAGGTTCTTATTCAAAAACTATAGTTTTTTCTTAAACTAAAACGATCGTTTATGAAAAAAAATGAAACGAAAACAATTATTTTTCGATCGTTTCTAAAAACAATTTACAACCTTATGTACACACGGATCAAGTAGACAGGACACAGCAGACAATGCTAATGTTTTCTTTCAGCCCATGTATTTTTACATGAACGTTGGGTGTTTGAGCTCTTAAACCCGACTTATTTGACTCCCAGTACACGTCAACCCTGTATCCTTGGTTATAGGTTATCCATGTCTACAAAGTTTAAAATATATGTACATGGGAACACTATTGTGTACACTGTACATAACAGAAAGATGTAGAACTGCAGAAACGTAATTTTCTGTCCTGAATTGTTAGACTTTTTATTTTTTCTTACTTCTTCCTTTATATTTTATGATAATAATGCATTTGAAAGAACATAATCAGGTATAGGGTACCATTGTGAATCTGGCATGCTGGTCTATTAATTATAGGTCACTAAACCTTGAATATTGTTTAGGATGTTAATGTAAGAAGTATTGTTCTACGGGGAGAAGGAAAAGTATTCTCTTCTGGACAAAAACACCCTGTATTTGAAAAGAGGACACCCTGCATTTAAAAAAAGGATAGGATGAGAAAAGAATAGAAAATGTTGAGCAGCGCAGAAAAAGAAAATGTTGGAAATATGTGAATATTACAAGGTTTTATTATCCTTGGTCACTAAACCTTGAATATTGTTTAGGATGTTAATGTAAGAAGTATTGTTCTACGGGGAGAAGGAAAAGTATTCTCTTCTGGACACAATCTCAAGGTACAGGGGCAAACCTACAATCTCAAGGTACAGGGGGAACCTACAATCTCAAGGTACAGGGGAAACCTACAATCTCAAGGTACAGGGGGAACCTACAATCTCAAGGTACAGGGGCAAACCTATAATCTCAAGGTACAGGTGGAACCTACAATCTCAAGGTACAGGGGGAACCTACAATCTCAAGATACAGGTGGAACCTACAATCTCAAGGTACAGAGGGAACCTATAATCTCAAGGTACAGGGGGAACCTACAATCTCAAGGTACAGGTGGAACCTACAATCTCAAGGTACAGGTGGAACCTACAATCTCAAGGTACAGGGGGAACCTACAATCTCAAGGTACAGGGGCAAACCTATCATCTCAAGGTACAGGTGGAACCTACAATCTCAAGGTACATGGGGAACCTACAATCTCAAGGTACAGGGGGAACCTACAATCTCAAGGTACAGAGGGGAACCTACAACCTCAAGGTACAAGGGGAAACTACATTAACAAGGTACAGAGGGAACCTACAATCTCAAGGTACAGGGGCAAACCTACGATCTGAAGACACAGGGGGTACCTATAATCTTAAGGTACAGAGGGAACCTGTAATCTCAAGGTACAGGGGGAACCTACAATCTCAAGGTACAGGGGCAAACCTACAATCTCAAGGTACAGGGGGAACCTATAATCTCAAGGTACAGGGGGAACCTATAATCTCAAGGTACAGTGGGAACCTACAATCTCAAGGTACAGGGGGAACCTAAAATCTCAAGGTACAGGAGAAACCTATGATCTCAAGGTACATAGGGAACCTACAATTTCAACGTACAAGGGGAAACTACAATAACAAGGTACAGGTGGTGGAACCTACAATCTCAAGGTACAGGGGGAACCTACAATCTCAAGGTACAGGGGGAACCTACAATCTGAAGGTACAGGGGAAAACCTACAATCTCAATGTACAGGGGGAACCTACAATCTCAAGGTACAGGGGAAACCTACAATCTCAAGGTACAGGGGGAACCTACAATCTCAAGGTACAAGGGGAAACTACATTAACAAGGTACAAGGGGAACCTAAAATCTCAAGGTACAGGGGGAACCTAAAATCTCAAGGTACAGGGGGAACCTAAAATCTCAAGGTACAAGGGGAAACTACAATAACAAGGTACAGGTGGAACCAACAATATCAAGGTATAGATGGATTCTACTATCGAAAATTGCAAAATACAGTCTAAAACGACTTTGCTTTACATTATGTTTCTTCGTTACAAAATTGAAATATGATTGTTACCGGAGACACACTATATAGTGTTATAGTTATGTAGTGTATAAGTCTATTTGGTATTCTAATTTGATTCTTTTCTTTTCTTTAAGATATTCAGCAAATAAGAGAGAAAAGATACATTATCCAATATCAGTCCTCCTTTCAACTCTGGGGTTACACCATGGTAGAATTCCAAAACTACTATTACGCACTCATTATACGTCAAATAACGACAAATAAATCGAAAAATAACATTATGCATTATTTTATTTTCATCATAAAAGATTGGTTGTAAAATTTTTAATGCTCTCATTTTAGTGCATATGGTTACCCACAAAGGATGAAACTGTAAAGACGACCTGAAACTTTTAAAATATGACGATCCTAAGCTTAAACTAAGTTTTCTGTTTTGAATATATATAATATTTTATTAGAGTGTTTAATGTTTGACAAAGAAAGCAAAATTTTCAGTTTCAGAACTCATAAATTTAAGGAACAAGACAATATAAATTCAGTACAGTCGTGATGAATATTACCTTCATTTTTCTAGCATTTTCAAGGTTTTTGAATCTTTAATAGGCACCACATAAGTACTGTGAACTTGGGAAGGTTTCACCATTTAAAAAATGTATTCTAAAAACTAAATTATGCTTAAAAAATTATCCTAACCAGAAAAAAAAATACAAAAATCGATCTTCTTTTAGGGTCAAAATTTGGAAAAGTCAAAGGAAAACAAATAGAATAAATTAAACAATTTTAAAAGGAACTGAGTTTTTGCCAAAAATTAGTTTCATTGAAAAACTTTTTTCGGAGTCCAAAAACCTATCACTAAACTCCAGAAAATTTAATTGACAGTGCTTGTATTTTTATTAACATGCGTAACCGTAGTTATAGAATTCTAACATCAACATGATTGGATTTGATATACAGACAAACAGAGATTACTACTTTATATACAGGGTTAAACACTAAGGATGAGACTTCAGAGACGATTGTACAGNTGTTTCAGATGGGTTAAAAGTTAGAGGAGAGGGAGGGGGAGGTGGTATTCCACTTGGAATAGAATTCAACAACTAAAGTAGTAAAGGGAATACAGAAGTTAGTAATAGAGTTTACTCTGTACTTCTGCATTATGTGTGCACAACATCAAATATATACCCTTTAACCGGGACCAGGGGGGTATTTATTTTCTAGAATTACTGCCCTCAGAATATTGGGGAAAATTGGACTTCCCTCCTTCTGATATATTTTTCCAAATGATAATTTGTTTCCCTAATGTATCAATAAAAGCCCCTAAAAACATGTGGAGAAAAGAATTTTCCTAGGAAATATATATATTGATATTGATAAAAAAAAACTAAAGATGTGATAAAACACACAATTTTTTATTTTAGGAAATGACTCAAGAAACAGGAAAGGAATACCACCAAACAATATTTACAACCTGTGAGACATTGATGAAACTTCTTGGACAGGTGGGGACGGGTATAAAAGGCGTACTCAGTAAAATCTATGGTTTCCTGAGGGGAAAAGCTTTCTAAGCTTATATGAAATATTTGATATTAACATATAAACTGGTGTTTCCCTCTTTTGATATGTATTACCTAAAAATCATTTATTTCCTCATTAAAATTATTTATTTGGCAAATTCAGTAATAAAACAACCCTAAAATTTTTTTGTGCTCTGCTAAAGCATTCCTTATGTACTGGAGGGGGGGGGGAATATGTACCCCCACGGGTAGGGTTGTTTAGAATTCATAGCCGTGAGANGGGGGGTGATAGGGATGTTAAGGTAATAAAGTTATTGTATTTAGGGATCAAATTTAATGAGTTTGAACTACCTACCACCAGTTCAAATTTGAATCACCGATTCAAATCCTTTCCTAATATTTAACTTTGAATCGATGGTTCAAATTTGAACTGGCAGTAGGTAGTTCAGCAATGTTGCTCAAATTCTTAAAGTTTAATTTTATTCATTTATATTTCTCTCTTTTATAGTTGCCTGTTCCTGTAATCAGTGTTGTAACTGGGGTTGCAGCTGCAGCTGGTTGCCAACTGGTAGCTTCTTCAGATATAGTAGTTGCAACACCCCAGTCTAGGTAGCTTCTTCAGACATAGTAGTTGCAATACCCCAGTCTAGGTAGCTTCTTCATTTAGTTGTTGCAACATCCCAATCTCTGCACTTTGTATATGAAGGCATTGTGATTTGTGAAAGGCTTTACACATTGGAGGGAGGGAAGGCCAAGCGGCCGTGAACCCCATGCTTCATTAGTTTTCCAATCTTACTGAAACAGTATATATATCTAGGGTACTAAGTCAAGATTCAAGAAATAGGAATCTACAAGAATAAAGAAGAAACATAAAGAGAAAGAAATCTAACAAAGAAATCTAACAATATGTCTAAAGCTAATACGGCACCCTGCAAGTGTAGTGCAAACCTCGGAAATCGGCACTGGTTTATATAAGACAACATATACATTATTACTTAATCTTTTAAATTGTAAACATATATTCAACCTAAAAATGATTAAAGAATGCTTTAGACGATGAGTAACTGTAAACCATGTACAAGTATTTATTTTGGTGGTTAGTCACTTGGACTAACGTCATCAGAACTATCGATATTTTCACTTTTGTTCGGCTTTGCTTTCTAGTTTTTTCTTTTATTTTCAGATTATAATATTTTACTATTTGCATTTAAATTTGTTATGTCATAATTTTATGCAAATAAATTGTAATCCAAAATTTTTTCCTTTATACTGTTGGTAGATCTTGTGATGCAATCTTTATTCTAATTACTACATTTGGAAGCAAACATGTCAGAACATAAATAATTGTTTAAATATTCAATAGCTCAAACAACAGCAGGTCGGACATATTAGCATATTTTTCATTATTATTATTTATGTTAATTATAATATTTGTTATTTAAAGTTATTCAACACCTGGTGCATCTGTTGGATTATTCTGTCACACACCTGGAATACCATTAGCAAGGTACCTTTATCTTTTAGTCAGCTACTTTTATCCTTTAGCCAGATACTTTTATTTTTGGCCAGGTACTTTTATCATTAGCCAGGTACTTTTATTTTTAAATAGGTACTTTTATCCATAGCCAATTACTGTTATCCTTTAGCCAGGTACTGTTATCCTTTAGCCTGGTACTTTTATCCTTTAGCCAGATACTTTTATCCTTTAGCCAGGTACTGTTATCCTTTAGCCTGGTACTTTTATCCTTTAGCCAGGTACTTTTATCCTTTAACCCGGTCCTTTATCCTTTTATCCTTAGCCAGGTACTTTTATCCTTGAGCCAGGTACTTTTATCCTTTAGCCCGGTCCTTTATCCTTTAACTAGGTACTTTTATCCCTTAGCCAGGTACTTTAATCCTTTAGCCAGGTACTTCTATCCTTTAGCCAGGTACTTTTATCCTTTAGCCAGGTACTTCTATCCCTTAGCCAGGTACTTTTATCCCTTAGCCAGGTACTTTTGTTGACGTTACTTCGAGTGATCCTCCAATCTCCATTTATAGAGAGTCGTGCTCGCTTCACAATTCTGCCCTTTAAACTTCTCTCCGAGAAACAATCTCAAAATGTGGTTTATTGAGTTACGGGTACCATTGTGAATCAGACTTGCCGCTTTTGTAATGAAGGGTCCCTTGAAATAACATACCCTTTATTGTATCAGATACAGGGTGTCCCACAAAACATGACAATTAGTAAATAGTTTTGAATGTCTTCTTCCATATACTGTATTAGATATTATAAAGACTTTTTGTAGTTTATTTTGTTAAAAAAATCTTTTACTCAAATATATTTTACGTTGAAATTAATTTCACTTTAAGATGACTCCCATACAATATGTTTTATTATTCTCTTTGGTATCAAACATCTTAACAAATTATGGAAGAAGACATTTTAAGTCAACTGTCATGTTTCATGGGACACCCTGTATATTGTAGCAAGTTCTTTTCTCGATTTTTTCCCCACATGTTAAATACATCTCCTAATATTTCGTTGACCATTTTGTTTATTATTTATAAAGAATCCTTTACGAACTAGTAATAACTCTCAAAGAAAAAAAAAACATTTTAAACACTGACAATCAGAGGGTCACTAAAATAATATAAAAGTTTTTTAGGAGGGTTTCAAGAGCTATGTCTGGTTACATGCTTCTTACAGGTGAAAACATTTTTTTATAAATTCCTGTATTACTTCTTACAGTCTTACTTCATAATATTCGGTAACTATACTGATATGTTATTTCAAGAATCACGGGGTGTTGGGTAAGAAAGGATGTTTAATGCTTTGTGTAAATAATTAAAAATTGGACATCTAAAGTTACCTTATTTTTTACCAAAAAAGTATTTATTTTCTCCAAAGAATCCTTTAGTTTCCCAAATCTAGCGAATAAAACCATAAAAAACTTCTCGGGGAATATTTATTTTTCAAGAAAATTCACACCTTTGTCTTTGAATCAAATAATTTTTAAATCCAAGGGAGGTTGAATAACTTTGTTTGAATTTTGCATCCAGTTTTGTACTGCTAACTACAAGATATCCCACAAAGGATGAGACTTCAGAGACGACTGTACAGAATTTATACCGTCTGTTTTCTTNAACCACTTTAATGACGACCTGAACCACTTTAATGACGACCTGAACCACTTAAATGACGACCTGAACCACTTTAATGACGACCTGAACCACTTTAATGACGACCTGAACCACTTTAGTGACGACCTGAACCACTTTAATTCTGAGGCTCTTAAGGTTGAAATTTGTCTTCGATCTTAATTTCAGTTTTTTCTAGTGACGACCTGAACCACTTTAATTCTGAGGCTCTTAAGGTTGAAATTTGTCTTCGATCTTAATTTCAGTTTTTTCTAGAAAAAAAGTTTATACTTTAATAAAAACGACTGAATAATACCGTACAGTTGTCTCTTTTATTTGAGAGTAACCCTGTGTATTGTATACAATTTTGAACTATTTTCCTACGTTAGTTCGATCAAGTTGTTCTCGATGGAAGCGATAGGTAGTCCAACTATGGAAATATAGTTTAACTATCTACTTTGAATTCAGGTTTAAGTATATCTGGAGAAGAGGCTTACAATGCTGGGCTTGTATCCAGGCTTGTTCCTGAACAGGATATACAAACTGAGGTAGGTACATACACAGGATATACAAACTTAGGTAGCTGTACCTGAACAGAATATTTAAACTGAGGTAGGTACCTGAATAGGAGATTCAATTTAAGGTAGGTACCTGAACAGGATATACAAACTAAGGTAGGTTCCTAAACAGGAGATTTAAACTGAGGTAGGTATTAGTGCTAAATTAAACAGCTTACTACCAAGCTCCACAATCAAAATTTAAGGCAAATCGGTCAAGCGGTTCATGAATTATTACTGGACATTCTAAGAAATAAACAAACCGAGATTAGCATTTCATGGTTTACTAATCTAGAATCTTAGAATCTAAATTTTAAATATTTCCTTTAAAGACTGTAGTGTACACCGCATTATGGAAAGCATAGGCGTCGCGTACACTTATATTTTAATACAAACTTTGGCATTAATTGATTTTTAAGAAAAGAAGACGATTTAAATGTTGTATCTCCATATCAATGTTTATTGTTTAGCCTTTTAGGTAGATAGAATCTGCTCTGCTATTGCGGGCAAACCTAGAGGTGTAATTGCTCTGGGTAAAAGATTTTACAGAAAACAGGTTAGAATCTCCAGTGCAGTACAGTACAGTACAGTACAGTAATTTCTTATTACTTCTTGTTCAACTTATTGATGCGGACTTTAAAGAATGTTTTCTGCAGTATACTTAGTTAAGAACATAAAAGCGAAAATAAATTGAATTAAGAAATTTTTGTTTTCTGTTTTTTCCCTCAACTTATTTTTGTTTTGCACTGAGCTCTGAAAGCAAATTTATTTGCAAAGATCTAAAAAGAAGTTGCATGAAAATAAAAATAATTTTAACTGCAGAGAAAATGCAGACATGGTTAATCATCTGAGAGCTTTAATAAAAATGATGTTTTTATTTGTTTCATTAAGAAAGAAAAAAGCCATTTAAACCTCTTTCATTCAATTCATAAATTGGTTTGAACTCCGCTTCATTCAATTTATAAATTGGTTTAAACTCCCCTTCATTCAATTTATAAATTGGTTTGAACTCCCTTTCATTCAATTTGTAAATTGGTTTTAACTCCCCTTCATTCAATTTATAAATTGGTTTAAACTCCCTTTCATTCAATTTGTAAATTGGTTTTAACTCCCCTTCATTCAATTTATAAATTGGCTTAAACTCCCTTTAATTCAATTTATAAATTGGTTTGAACTCCCTTTCATTCAATTTTTAAATTGGTTTAAACTCCCTTTCATTCAATTTATAAATTGGCTTAAACTCCCTTTCATTCAATTTATAAATTGGTTTGAACGCCCTTTCATTCAATTTGTAAATTGGTTTGAACTCCCTTTCATTCAATTTGTAAATTGGTTTTAACTCCCTTTCATTCAATTTATAAATCGGTTTTAACTCCCTTTCATTCAATTTATAAATTGGTTTGAACTCCCTTTCATTCAATTTATAAATTGGTTTTAACTCCCTTTCATTCAATTTATAAATTGGTTTTAACTCCTTCTCATTCAATTTATTAATTGTCAGTTAATCAGGGGACTTTACATATATATCTCTGGTAATTTTAAACACACAATAACGGCAGACCACATTTTAGAGTTGGCAGGACTAAGACTATTTTGTTACTATTGTTATATTTATCATATTTTTATAATTGGATTTTAAAGTCGTCTGAATAATTATAAATTAATTCTGGGTCTTTCTGATTATAACTGTATAACAAATTATTTGTATGGTCCTCTTGAAATCATTAACTTTACTCCATTTAGTGAAAAAAAATTTAAATGGGAGGGGTAATGTTTTAAAGATAATAAATATCCCTAAAAATAGATTGAGATGCCACTGAACTCCGCTTACCCTGCTGGTGGGGAGGTCATGCTGCACAACCTTTGGTTTAAAGATGCACAGGTAGAAATTATTCAATCAATCAATTAATCAGTCATCTAATTAATCAATCAAACAGTTATCAAACTAATCAATCAATCAGCCATCTAACTTATTGATCAAATATTCAAATAACTAATCAATTAAATTGTCATCTAACTAATGTTTCAATCAGTCAGCTAACTAATTAATTAAAAATGTATCCAACTTTTTAATCAAATAGTCATCTAACTAACAAATTAATCAATCATGAAAGTTATCAATTAATCTAGTCATCTAATTAATTTATAAAACATTCATATAACTAATCAATCAAACATACATCTAACTAAGCAATCAAACAGTCATCTAACTAATCAATCAAACATACATCTAACTAATCAATCAAACAGTCATCTAACTGATTAATCAAACATACATCTAACTGATTAATCAAACATACATCTAACTAATGATTAAAATATTCATCTAACTAAGCAATCAAACAGTCATCTAACTAATCAATCAAACATACATCTAACTAATCAATCAAACATACATCTATGATCTAACTAATAAATCAAACATACATCAAACAGTCATGTAACTGATCAATCAAACATGCATTTAACTAATAAATAAACATTCATCTAACAAATCAATCAGTTAGTCATCTAACTAATTAATCAAATTGTCATCTGCAAAATTAATCATAATCAATCAATCATTATTTGATGAAACATATATTTATAAATCTATTGTTAATGCAAGGATTCAAACAAAGATTGATTTATTTCTTTTTGTTTTGTTATATTTTGCGTTTTAAAAAATATTTAATTTAATAACTTGTAACTTCAGGAAGGGATTACAGCATTTAAGGAGAAACGAAAACCAAGCTTTACTCACTCAGATGAAACAGTACAGTAGTACAGCAGTTGCATAGCAGTAAATTAACTTTTTTAGGTGTTCAGTACTAGCAGTAAGTTAACTGTACAGTGTCTAGTCGTGCCACTGCTTTAATTTTACAGAAGTACTGTGAGAACCACAAATCTCTGGAATAGGAAGTAGACTTTTAGACTCAAGTTATGACTTTAATTAGTCAAATGAACATGAGACACAGCAATTATCCAGTGTGTACAGAGTACAGACCCATTTCACTTAATAAACGATTTAAGAGGTTGCAAGTAAAACTATTTGCTTTGTAACAACATCAAATAAACTTTATAGTTATTTAAATATCATCTTTTCATTCCACAGTTTTCTGGTTCTTAGTATAGCAGTAACTTTAACAACAGATTTTGATTTGTACAGCAGTACAGAAGTGGCAGTACTGTACTTCACTGTATATACATATGATTATAAATTGTAAATGCAAAATATAAACATAAACATAAACTTTTTATTTATTTACAAACTCTGTTTAGTGTCCATGTTTAAACATGAATAAATTCACAAAGTGACCATATTCTAGATTTAGACCAAACTTATAAAAAAAATACTTTCTGCATTAAAACAAGACAATTGGTAGAACAGATTTTTGTGGAAATATATGCAAGAAAATACCAGCGACTTTGCTAGTTTTTTTTTTGAAAATCTATGTAAGGAAATAAACCAGTGATTTTGTTAGTTTTTTTTTGAAAATCTATGTAAGGAAAAAATACCAGCGACTTTGCTAGTTTTTTTTTGAAAATCTATGTAAGGAAAAATACAAGCGATTTTTTTTTTGAAAATCTATGTAAGGAAAAAATAACAGCGATTTTGTTAGTTTATTTTGCAAAATCTATTTAAGTAAAAACCAGTTATTTTATTAGTTTTTTTTTAAATCTATGTAAGGAAAAAATACCAGCGATTTTGTTAGTTTTTTTTTTGCAAAATCTATTTAAGTAAAAACCAGTTATTTTATTAGTTTTTTTTTAATCTATGTAAGGATTAAAAACAGTGATTTTGCTAGTTTTTTTGAAAATTTATGTCTGTAGCTAGCTAACAATTACTTTTTACATTTTAGCCTTTCCTATCTAGAAACATTAATATTTATGATATACCCAAAACTAGCTTTATTTTAAAGCATCTCAAATGTTTTTGGTTTAATATAAGCCAAGTTTGTAGAAACCAGCACAATACAACTTACAAGATATGTTTGAATTTTTTAGTAATAATTGAAACATTTTAAATATAGAACCAAGGTTAGAAGTTAGAAGAAACTTTAAAGGGACAATCGTTTAATTTCATTTAATATCCTATAAACAATAACATGCACTTTAATCTATAATGTGGAAGATATTGTTATTTTTTGAAAAGTGTTATTTCTCAGTATTTTCTGCATTGTTTATGTATTAAGAAATCCGTCTGTTATATTTTTAGAGAACCCACAACTGAAAAAGCCACCTTTTTAGAGAAATCATGGCTATCTCGTTCATTTCCGATCAGTTTTAAAGGGTACCCTTGTGAATATGCCACTTATAAATGAAATCACTTAAAATTACGTCTACAGTCCCTTTAAATAGAATATAATTGCTCTTTTTCTGCTCTTTTCAACCTAATTTGCAACATAAAAGCATAAATTTAATGTACCAAAATAATTTGGCACAAAGGCCAGCTTTACATATAAATCCCAAACTAAATCATGGACTTTACATTGTACATTATACATACAGGGTGTCTAATAAACAGGACAGTTCAATAACCAAAAGATATCTGATTCAAACGGTTCACGATCGACCTTTAAGCTTGAAGCTTTAAGTTTAATGTTCGAAAACTAAAAACTGTTCGCTCTGAAAAATGAATACTGAAGGCGTTACAGGGTTGCAAAGCCAGAACAGTATTATCTAATGTTTAATAAGTTGCCCCCCTCCCCCGGACATATTTCTCTGTAAATATAAAACCAATCTGTGAGAAATTACATTACACCAATATTGCAGAAAATATGAATTTTTCTTTTTTACGATCCATTCCATGCTAATATAGCCATAAAGACCATCTGTGTACCCCCTCCCCCAGTACTACGTCACCTCCCCCCGTCTGTATAAAGTATAATTGAGACATTGTACAGATATGCTGCTGAAACAATGTTTTAAAAAACTTCTTCGGTTTACACCCCGTCCCAAAAAAACATGAAAATTTTATTATCTCTAACTTGAATATACTAAGAATCAGACTTTTCAGAGACGACTTTACAGAATTAATACCTGATTGTTAATTTGTTACATATATGATTCTCCATGCAACCGTGAACAATTGTTCTCTTCTTTGTCAAATCATTAAAAAGAACATTAAAGGACGTTATGTATCTTGACGACGGAAGCTTTAATTTATCCTTGGAATCGTCATGTTCTAATAGTTTTGTTTTCAATCTAATCATTTGTGGGTAACCCTGTATTTAAACTGTAGACTCCATTTTGAAAACTTACACAGTCTTTTTTTGATAAATAAAAAAGTCCATATTTTCAAGTATTTCTATTTATTTCTATTTATCACTTTTAAACGTTGTATGATGAAGTACGACGGAGCAAATACTTTTATCGACTAGCTTTAAAGGGACTGTAATTCACTAGCTTTAAAGGGACTGTAATCCACTAGCTTTAAAGGGACTGTAATCCATATAGCTTTAAAGGGACTGTAGGCATATTTTCAAGGGATTCTCCAATCTCCATGTAAAGATGGCAATGCCCGATTCACAACAGTGATGGTAAAAGCTTTGTCTGATAAATATCTATAATTTTAAAAACAGATTTTCTATTGTGGTTCCTATACAAAAGTGATCTGTGCATTTTACTACAGGAACAGCGCATAAGAATCATCAGAATTAAGCACTTTTACACCTAGAAAGACGACAATATCTCTACCCTTGATCAGTCAAATGTTTAAGGGACCAATGTGAATCGGACATTACCTAGATAGATTAGTAAGCTAATGTCGTCTTCACCATACCGGAGTGTAAAAATATTTGGGGTGTTTTATTTTCTAGAGAGGAACAGTAATTCAGACAATTCAGAGCCCAAAATTTAAAAGAGTATCGTTGAACGAAACTCCCGAGTTTCCTGTTTGGGGTCTAAACATTTGTGTGGATTTTGATTTAAAAGATTCGAAAAAAATAGAGAATATTAAGAAACTAAAGAAAATAATATTTCATAACACAAGTATTGATATTCAGAAAACTGCCAATTACCCCATTTATGAAACCCGGGTTCTAAAACTGGTTTTCATAATGATACCCTGTCTTAAGTTTTGGGCTCTGAATTGCAAGACTGTCCCGAGCCCAAAACTTAAGACAGTGTATCGTTCTGAAAACCAGTTTTGAAACTCGGGTTTCACGAATGGGGTTAGGCAGTTTTGTGTTATTTAGTTTCTTTATATTCTCCATTTTTCCGAATCGCTTAAATCAAAATCTACACAAATAATAACACCCCAAAAATAATAAAACTCGGGGGTTTCCATCAACGATACTCTTTTAAATTTCGGGCTCAGGTAAACATTGTTCTCTACAAATTGACCCCGAGAAGTAAAACGTATTAATTTACCTTTTTAAAAGACGAGGGCATGATGTACAAGGGGTTATACAATTTTCAGCATTACAGTCTGCATTAGCGACATATTAGATCGTTTATTGCTCTAAATTTCCTTTTTCGAGACTAATCAGAAAAAAATTTGTATAAAATGCCTCCAAGATCCAGATATTAGAAAACAATATAATCTACTTCATCCTTGATCAGGCGCGTAGTGGAGGTTTAGCCTAAGGGGGTGCACTTATGGCGCGCGTAAGCGCGGCGAAAATTTTTTTTGTGCACCTTTCTAACGGTTTATGTGCTCTGTCCTGAAAAACCGGTATTGAGAAAAAATAAAGTTTAAAATCTATATTAATCTACCTGAAGGCTGACTATTAGTCATCTGACCATAATTACCAATCATTTAAAATGAAGCCCCGCGAAAAAAATATTGTAAATAAGATTAATGTACAAGAAAGAATTTGAGAAATAATCATAAAATGGAAAAATTGTGACATTGTCGATTGATAAGAAAATTAAAAAATCTGAATATATATGTAAGGTCCCTGTTAAATAAATTAGAGCCTGCCTCTGGCTCTAGAGGGGCCTAGAAGGGTGCATGTCTAGGGGGGCACAGGGGTACGTCCCTGACATGACACGAAAAAGTCTTTAATATCCAATATAATTTATGAAAGAAGACATTCAAAACTTTTCACCAACTGTCATGTTTCGTGGGACACCCTGTATGTGAATAGGACATGCCATTCTTTAAATTGAAGATTACTTAAAAATTATGTCTACGAGGGGAGGAAGGCGGGGCCAACCACAACAATTGAATGCCGCAAATGATTCCGAGTTTATAGAACTTCAATCTTTTTTGCTAATTATTGTGAAAATCATGGGAAATTATGGGAAAATGATAGGAACAGGTATGCCAAATATTTTGCTATTTATTTTATATCGCAAAGGTTAGCCATCTAAGATTTAAGTAATACAGATTTAACGTTTGACATCATTCTCATGGGTTTGAAGATTCCAACAGGAGTTTTTAGTCTATCCAAATTTCCCTAACGTGGCCAGTTTTATCTTCGAGAGTTGGAAATCTTAAAACACATAATAATCGCAGGATGAGGATTCCGAGGGGGCTCGGACGAGAAAATTAGGAGAATGTGGTTCGGAGGAGAAATTATTGTGGCTACCTATGGTTACTGCAGTCTCTTTATTTCATCATAAAATTACAAAAACCATCATTGCAGAATTCCCATTTCATTAAAAAAATAAAAAACAGCACTGAACAGTTTTAAGTTTTTAGCAGGAGGATGTAAAAGTACAAATTAGGGTTCTTATTAAAAAATTTGTTAAAAAAATTGTAAGTACTTTTTAACCATATTTTACTCTGTTCAACTGAAAAATAGAAAAATAAAATGGTTGAAGAAGAAAGAGAAAGAAGTTTAAATTGTTTGAAAACATTTTTATGACAAGATAATCTCAACAAATTCCCCAGAAATAAAAATTCTCTAGAAAATTCTATCATTTGTCCGGAGATAAGCTGAACAATGCCGCAAGCATTTTTATATTTGCCAACCTAGAAGATTTTATTTACATCGTTGGCTGGGAAGGAATCATACAGGAATCCCCCACGGGCCA